TAACTATCTCATCTAAAAGATCTTACGTGGAAGTCACATTTTTGTTTACACTTACTCTTCCTGTCGTGCGAATCGCTAATATGATGTTACCTACCTCCGGAGAACACATTTGGGCCAGAGATAGAACAATAAATTTCATATGAATAAGAGATAAGTTACAAAAGAATGATCACACCTGCAAGGCTAAGCCATGATATCCGACTGAATCTGATTAATTCTCCCCACCTTCTCCATTGTTGAAAAGTTCTTCGTTAAAACCAAATTCTAAAATATTTTACTCACTATATACGTAATTGGTAAAGATGAATTATTACAATTGCTGTTTTATGGAAAACTTATCCTTAACCATTAATCCGAATATCTCCATACTGGTATTAGTCCTAACATTAGATAATTGGGAAAATAGATATTCGACACTTAATGCTAAGAGAAGACCAATAATCGAGGTGGGGAGAATTAATCAGATTCAGTCGGATATCATGGCTCAGCCTTGCAGGTGTGATCGTTCTTTTGTAACTTATCTCTTATTCATATGAAATATATTGCTCTATCTCCGGCCCAAATTTGTTCTCCGGAGGTAGGTAACATCACATTAGCGATTCGCACGACAGGAAGAGTAAGTGTAGACAAGGACATGACTTACACGTAAGATCTTATAGATTAGATAGTAAAATCATGACAAGTTTAAAATATTATGATTAAGTTTATTATTTGAGCAAAGCTAATAACGAGGTAGAACATAATCTTACGACTGAACTGGTAACATTGGTTCTGATATTGAAAAGTATCTCCATACTGTACGTGCAAACACGATACATGCCGAACACATGACTGAGAAACACGGTAAAGAAAAATCGCCATTGAAGAAATTGCAGGTGTAATACAACAGAGTATTGGTAATCACGATTCTAAAGTAGTACCTGAAAACAGTCAAGGGAGTTTTAATGCTCCAAATACTTTCAGTATGCTATCACCATTTTGATATGAATAGGTATGAGGACCGTAGAACATATTGGGCCCTGACTATATAGATTGTGTAATTATGGTCCAGTTCTGTATCAATGCGTTTGTATCCGCTACTATAACGGTAGACCGAATCCAAAAGTTTTAGATTTACGACGACATGACAACCCAATGTATAGAATTTTTCGTGGAAGTCACCCCATAGTCTACTCTGTCCCGTCATATCGTGACATGCAACATTTTGAAGAATACATTTGCACTGTGGATGAAACAATATGTTTGGTGTGAATAAAGGCTTATTACACAGATGGCCATGTGTGAAAGGCCGAACCGTAACATACAGATCAATTGTTCACACGTCCACCACTATTGGTTAGTGAAGCATTTTGAAACTATTTCGCCCTTTTAATTATACTCTTAACTCTAAAGACCGTGTAGCTACGAACCAATACTGATACAAGATCCCTAAGTGTTATCCTGAGATCGGAGAAGCAATGGAATCTTTTTTTAATTAGTGCTAGAATTGAAGATATCATTGACATACGCGTAACACCTAACATATCTCAAGAAGAGAGAATAAAATGGAAGACGGCAATAGCTGAACTAGAAACCCGTCCAAAAATTGGTGAAGAAAATGTCCACATAGTGCGTTTTTTGGTATTCAGGTCTTCAAAAGCAATGCTACCAAATTCTATGTGCATAGATTGTTTTCTTTAGGACGTTTATATACAAATGCTTATGGTCTAAGGACTAAACCCTATGAACAAGGAGTATTAGTGGACGAATTAAAGCCATTCATATTAGCTATGATAAAAACTTCGTTAGTCCATGACCTTGGCGTTAATTCAGAATCACTTGAAACAACTATCTAAGAAGTGATAGGAATAGATGCAGTAAAAAGTGCGTCCTCATATACATAACTAATTACAATAACATCTGTTCCTTGGTTTGTGAATCTCATGATTGTGAAACTTATGAAGTCATTAGCTGTGACCACAAATTTGAATGTTGTACATTCATACTCACCACAATAACTGAAATGCCAACATTACGCTTGGACATAGAAGTAACAAACAAAGATTTATTCCATTAGATAAGATTACGTTATTCTGTATAATTTACAAGCGTTTTTAAGTTACTAAATTTAATGAAGAGAACAAATTATATAAAAAAATAAGACATACATGAAACAGTACTGCTTGTGCTAGACAGTCAAGGGTTTTTCTAACATAAATTAGGGTGCTATGAATCAATAAAATCATTCCGTACATGATAGGATTAGATGTCCATCTTCAGGGATTCCAGAAACTTTTGTAAGCGGACAGTCAGAAATTAACAGCCACACTCTGAACCAGTCCGTGACATTGAGCTTAGTCAAACACGACCTCATGATCAATGGTCCAGCAATATGAGGCGGAAAAATTAAGGAACTAAGGGTTAGTTTTTGAGGCACACTATGCTTGTTAGTTTACGGGTTTTCGCGCACGTGTAACGTATTGTCGTGGATTTTATGTGTCGTTATTTATCAGCTATTAACAGCCTTTTTTCCGTCATACATGACTTTTCGTAATCTTTGTGATTGGAAGATAGTTTTTGTTTCAATTTATAAGCAGTTTGACGTATTTCGTGCTCACCACCTAAGTAAATATGTAGCTGGCGTAATATGGTTATTTTTTAACAATACTAAGTCAAAGAAGTCAAATCACCATTTTTCTAGTCAAAAATAGATTACAGATTGAGTTTTCATGAAAATAAGCCGTAAAAAGAATTATATATGGTTCACCTCCTTGATTATGTTGACGGCAAACACAGATGTTGGTAGTCGTTTATAAAATGTAATTAGAAAGAAGTAAGCGTTAAAGTAACTATGAATATTATATAAATTGTTTGTATTTAGCCATAAAAGGTTATTTGGACTATAGGTAGCATTGTTTTGTACTGAAGTGACATATTACTGTGTAAGGTATCAGAGAAAAATTATGTGAGTAACAATTGACGTTGATAGTCTTTTTTACCGGTTTTCTGAACGTATACAGAAATAGTGTGTAACATCACATTAAATATGCACGAAATCTTCATAAGTAAATCGATGGGTGTCTCTTCTGAGCATGGTGACGAAACCATGTCTTACTTAATACTGACTTATGATGTGTCTGTTAGAGGGTTGACGAATAATTCTCCGTAAAGGAAATGCACAATCGCAGAAGAAAATGTGAACAAAGTTATGATGCATATTGTCGAGTAATATCTAAATGGTGCTTACCAATTTCTCTTGCTTATACCAGATATATAGACGAAATACTACAAGGGTTAGACACTGAAGAAATTTCCATTGCTTGTTAAGACACAAACTTAAATCAAAAAACAACTATTAATGAGTTAATTCATGAATTCCTACTGCATTACAGACTGACTCGTCCAAAGTAATTCATGCAGACAACGTGACGAAAAGTGAATGAGCAATGGAAGCAGAATCACAAGTTCCTTGTATTCATATCGCCTTTATGCCACATTATTGAATTACATTTTATTCATAAATCCGACCACGCTTCTATGTTGTGACGAACCTGATTTCAGTAATTTTTAAATAACACTGATTTGTGTGTTGTAAAGATTACCTATTAATTTTTATTAAAGGAAATAGAAATCTCTAATGATTAGCGCTGTCTGCAAATAAGAGACTTATAAGTACATTCTGTAACCTGCTATTTGATTGACTTATTAAATGTGATATTGATAACTAGGTCTAATTCTTTATTTCACGACTGATTTGTTTGTTTTTCAGAATTGTATGAATCAAATGAAGTCGTCAAAGCTTTGTGATGATGTTTACGCCGGTCTACAACTTATAGAATTTGTGATTATGGAAGACCATATTAAAATCATTTTTATTCAACAAATGAATTAGTGAAATATAAATATAGCAACTACACTTAGTGTCTTACGTTATAAACCGTGTCAGTATTTATTAATAGTCGATATGACGCTAGAACAAATATAGATAGAGAATAATATGAACTCCTTATAATCCATGGAATGAACAAGTAATAAGAAGGATTATGTAATAATTTATTTCACTTTTAAAATTTAGTTACGCATTTTTTCCATCACCCTGTCACTTAATCCTCTGTAATTACGTGACCTCTGCAAATTGTAATCAATTATGACGTAACTCAAGTTTTCAGTTCTTAAATCCACGGATCATTTACAAGCTATAAGAATTTCACACCACTTATCTGTCTGTGAACTGCAGTCAACTATTATATCACCCATTCTTAATGTGTTATTGACTGTAAAAGCAAATGACCTTTGACCTTACACTGCATATATATATATATATATATATATATAGTCACTATTGATAACCTACGTCATTTCATTTATTCATATTTAGGTATGTCAACTGTTTCCCACATCACTGTTAAATCCTATTGCATATTTAGTTGTAATGAATGCATACCACTGTTAATCAACATTTCTCCTGGTTTTATTTTGATTCATAAGCGGAATTAATCACATGAACTTAAAATGTACATAGGTCCTGATACGATTTTAATGATAAACGTAATCCCACGAAGGTGAATATGATATGTGGGTGCCTAATCTGCAAAACTGTACGCGGATGTAGGGTTTCTTAATCAATCTTAATTATTACAAACAGTTACACATGAACATCATTGCTATTCATTCCCATAAAAGTAGGAATAAGATGAAAATTGAAATTATGAAAGTTTATTGAAGAATCATTGCTGCAAAAGCAGAAAATCAAGTTTACAAGTTGGTATTAAGAATTCTTAAGTAATAATTGTCCACTTTCTTCTCAACTTCCGTTGCAAAACGTTCACCATACTTCTCAATGATGCGATGTTTATGGATTCTTTGGCTTCGTTGAATACTTACATACACTTCACTCCGTCATGGTAATGCAGGTAATGTATAATTTTGGAAGTTCTGGGTATTGTGTAACTTCCATCTGCTACAATACCTAAGAAGTTGATGAGCTATGCAGTTAGTATTTCATAATTGATATAGCTTACCTGTAAGATTTCTTCTTTTACTTTCGATAACTTCGTCTGCTGACTCACAGTGAAGTATTACGGGCTTCAAGTTCTCTTTTTCTTCTGACGATAATCTCCTTGTCCATGGATCACATAACATCCATGAACTACTACATGGATAATTGTGTATCATCTTGTAGGATTTGATTACATATCCTTGCTCTTCTAGTCTTACACGGAATTTAGATTGACAATTACGGAATTTAGACCTTAAACATAAGATATTAGTTAAAGATCTTACGATTTTTGCCTCACTTTCAAACCTTCCGATTTCCGTTTGTGACCAAACGTACAATTAAACGATACAAACAGGTATTTGAACCTGACATCCTTCAGCAATCTGCTTTCTGTGTGGATGTAACGAGTATAAGTAGTCTGAGAAGCGATAAAATTATAGTTCCATACTTTTTGGAACTCTTTTAAGGCGCTTTCAAAATCATCCCACAACACGAAACGCTTGTTCAGTATCATACTTCGAAAGGCATCGGTTAAGTCGACTGAAATGTCACTTGAGGATGAAGCACTAAAAACAGACATTACTAATTATTAAACAGTTATTCCTTGCAACAATAATAACCCAAGGAAATACTACAAATACTTGAGATTTACCTGTGACTTGACATTTCGTTTAGCTTTACTACAATTGTTGGGATCAAAGATCAAATTACAAAGCAACAACAGAGCCAAAGTGCACACTACAAAACAGAGAACGCTAAATTAATGGTTTTGCTATTTATTTCGTGCTTTTTATGTAGCATAGGATGACTTATATATGAAAAAACTTGATACTCATGCAAACCAACCAACCCACGGCAATTGAAATACGGAATGACCGCCTCTAATCAAGCCGTTCAAGGTCGTTGAAACGAAAGGGCGAGCACATTTCAAAAGGACCTAACGTTTAAACCGTGCCAGTTTTTGATCAAAGTTATATAATGAAAGCTCAGATGGGGAAGACTAAAGAATACAATGTGTGGTTAGTATAGATTTGAATAAAGGTTAAAACACACTATAAGGAGAAGTAACAAATAAATGACAGTACTGATCAACAAAACGCTATTTAGGAATTTTCAGTGTTTTATTTTCATTGCATTGGTTACTATGAATTGTAGTCCAATCTGTTCAGTCGATTACTTCATTTTAATGCACATACAGCTGTGGAGTAAAAATAACAAATGCTTGATAATGGATTTCACCACACCTAATATTAATTCGACAGAGATGGATACTACGGGGTCTAAAAACTTCCGATAAAAAGATCCTGATGACGGAGATGGGGCAAACTTTAGTACTGCACGCATCCGAACCCACACACTTTGGTTCAGGCCAAGGATCTTTTGTGTTAGACTTAGTAATCACCCATGCGATTTACGATATTCCCTAATTTAATATTCTCTCACTGTCAACAAATAGCGATAATACTGTTTTTCATTCATATTTGAGGCTTGTGACACAATATACTATCGGGTTCGACCTCTCACAAATATGTGCAGAGCAAACGTAACTGTCATACAAGATTTCGCTGCAGCAACGCACTTGTCAGTAAATACTGCCCCATCAGTTAAAGAAACATGGTCAATAGTTTAAGGTACACCTAGCTTAGTTATGTCCCGATTTATACTATGCATGGTACCACACAGACTTAGTGACTGCACACGATGAATAACCAAACAAGTCGAGAAACGTCTTAGACATAGGAAGAATGATTGGAGTATGTTTTTCTGTGCATGCTATGAACAGTACATATTCATATATTGTAAGACTAGAAATGCTTGAAAAGATTTGGTTAGTATGACTAGACATTGATTTGAAAAGCAATTGGTTGAAAGTTGTGAAAATAGTCCGGAAATATTGTTCTCATATGTAAAGATGATCTTATATCTTTAATTCATTTTAAATATATGGTTCTATCTCTAGCCTAAGCCTGTTCTCCATTACGTATTGATGATTGTGACGGTACGACGAGTCAGTGTAGACAACGATGTGACTTCCACGTAAGATCTTATAGATTAGGCAGTTATAACATGACAAATGTACAGTTTAAGAGTTAGATCTGTTATCAGAGGAGTATTAATGTCACAGTAGACCATGATTCTACAGGTTATCTGGTCATTGAGAAAGGGGAATGTTTTATGAATAATTCAACATCTCAAACCAAATAGGTTCAGCGGCCTGACAATATCCGTCCTATGATCTCGAAATCCTTGCAAGATGTAATTGCAGAGCTTCTTGCAACACTGTTTAAAATGTCTTTAAAGCAGTTTAAACTGTCAAGAGACTGTAACTGCATAATATTCAGTCCAGTCCATGAAGCAGTGGGTAAAGAGTTAGTTGGTTTAGCCAGTGTAGTTAAGTAAATAAATTGATTATTCGATTAGCTGTTCTAAACTATACAATAGGGGACAATTTTTTAGCCAAGTAACAACATGGATTTATGAAAGAAAATTTATGTTTGACAAATTCCAACGCAAAAGAAGGTTGAACTACAGCGAAACGTAGTAATAATTTGGTAGATGAAACTTTTATAGATCTAAGTAAGTCTTTAACAAGTTCTCTTATGTTAGTTCAGATTAAAACTGGACAGTTTTAGGACTCGTTGCAAAATTGCAAACTGGATAAGTGGTTTTCTCAGTGATAGCATACAACGAGAACAAGTGAACGGCACTCTAAAAACTGTAAGAAGTATATTTTGCCAAAATACACTCTTCGACTTTTACGCAAATGACTTACAGACTATTGCAAATTCATATGTTCTATTCAGGCCCATACAACGTATGTCCGATAGAATAATATTCCATAAATGGTTGAAAGAATGTTCAGTGTATCATACCCGACGTTTTGAAGCCGCATTTAGAATATAAGCTTTAGACTGTGAGCCATTGTTTACAGCATGGAGCGGATATGCTAAAACGATTTTCACAGTGAGGGACCAAATTAGTCAAAGATCCTTCCTGACTATCTTACGAAGATAGATTGAGACGCATCCAACTAAATCTGTAACAACCGAACTGCTAGTATTCGGTTTGAACGCAAGACTGACGTACTAAATTTTTTTTGAATAAGCCACTCTACGTTATGCTGTAAAGCGTACCAAGCGTTTTTCAGATACTCGTATTAAATTACATCAAAACACAATTTCTGTGCTCAATTGAAACGGTTCTAATTTAAAAAATAAAACAAATTGTATCAAAAATACATAATACGTCAAACGGTACAGCCTGTGCTATACAGTCAGAAGTATCTTTAACGTGAAGTAGCTTACCAAACAATAAAAGTAACAGTTAATACCAAAGGGTTCGATATTCCCAACAAGATGAGATCGTGGCGGTAAATAAATCCCTAAAATAAATAGCTCTGTAAGTTTCGACATTGGATGCTGACCATATGTTTTAATGGACTCATCTAGCTGAAGGCTCTCGGCCATGCATCCGCTCCAGATCACGTGTGGTAACGCTGTGCTCAACACCTACCGCATTCGCTAGCCATATTAGATCAGAGAATTCCGATATATTGGTTATCGCCAAATACACTCTTCCGATCTCCTCGACTCTGTCTTTTGATTTCTCTCGGTGGGAATAAAGTATATTAGAAGGTGTTACTTGTAGAAGCGTTGTCAAACATTGAATACCTGTATCATCCTCATTGGTGAGACCGTCGTGATCTGGTACACCTAGTTGCAACTGTGAGTCTGTTCTTTTTTGGGATTTTCATATATCATTACCTTATTTTTTTAAACATTGTGATTTTTTTTCTCGTGTTTTTCCTTGGATATATATATTTTCCCCTCGTTCATTATCGTACTTCATATTTCATCATGGCTGAACAGACACCCAAAGTACTCAAGCTTAAGACTTTGTCCCCACCTTCGTTTCAACTGATGCCTTTCTGGCCCGACAATATCAAAGCCTGGTTCTGCTACTCAGAAGCTGACTTCTCCGAGCACGGCGTGATCGACACACGTGCACAATTCCTCGCACTATCGCGCGAATTCAACAGGTACGTAACACCTAGTATGTTTACTAGTGATGTTTCCGAACCTTACGAAATCCTAAAACGTTCGATTCTTAAACGAGGAGACCTAACCGATCGACAAAGTTTAGATCAACTCTTCAATAACATCGACCTGCAACACGGTTCTGCGACGGACATGTTGCAACGAATGAGAGAAGTGATAGGCCTAAGAACTTTCGACGAAGGCCTATTTAAACAACTTTTCTTGTCTAAACTTCCCCAACAGCTGCAACCGGTTCTGGTCTCATTTCGGAACAACGCTTTAGACTAGATGGCTGCATCTGCCTAAGTTTTTTTCCTGGTTGTAGATTATCCCCAGTCACAGTTAAGCATACGATTGACCCACTTTATCAACCACTACTCGATAAATATCCTGGGATTCATCAAACGCAATCGAAATTACCGTGTGTAACCAGCATCGTTACACATGACATCGCGATTGCAGGACCACCTGTATTCTCTAAAGCACGACGATTAGCTCTTGAAAAGCTAAGAATAGCGGAAAACGAATTCGATCACACGATAGACTTAGGAATCATACGACCGTCAAACAGCCCTTATGCATCTCCGTTGCACATGGTCCCTAAGAAGAATAGCAACGATTGGCTTCCAACTGGTGACTATCGGCGATTGAATGCAAAAACCATTCCCGATCGTTAACCGTTGCCTCACATTCACGATTTGACAGCTACCTTGAAAGGTACAACTGTCTTTTCGAAAATCGACTTGGTTAAAGCGTATAACCAAATCCCTATGGCTACTGACGACATACCGAAAACAGCTATCACAACTCCTTTCGGACTCTATGAATTTTCGCGATTGCCTTTCGGTCTAAGAAACGCTGTGCAAACATTCCAAAGATCCATAGACGACGTCTTTCGAGGTCTCAACTTCGTACATGCGTATGTTGATGACTGCCTAATCGCAAGTCCGGACAGAAAATCACATCTCAAGCATCTGGATCTTGTTTTCGAACGATCACAAAAACATGGCATTACTGTAAACGTTCAGAAATGCTAAATCGGAACCAACTCGTTAGACTTCCCAGGACACACTATCGATGCTCAAGGCATTCGACCTCTTAGGACCAAAGTGGCGGCCATTCTGGATTACCCAGAACCG